TTTTTTATTTTAATTTATCGTATATTGACTACTACAATTGTTTTGACTCAACTGGAGCGAAAGGATTTCCTTAAAAAATGTCAATTAAGAAATGATCTTGTATCTAGTCAACTATTGACATTTTTAAAAATATAAGCTCATCCCGATGTTGCACTCATTAAGACCTTTCATTTGAGTACCCACATCAATTTTTCATATATTTTATATATTTATATATATTATATATATGTATATATGAAAAATATATCAAAAATACCATGTTGGTACTCAAATGAAAGGTCTCGATGAGTGTAACACCAGGATGAGTGTTTATATCTTAAAAAATGTCAATAATTAAGAAATTACATTGTATCTTGTCAACTATTGACATTTTTAAAGATATAAGCTCATTTCTATGTTACACTCATCGAAACCTTTCATTTGAGTACCCACATCAATTTTTCATATATTTATATAAATCGTATATATGTATATATGAAAAATATATCAAAAATTCATGTGGGTGCTCAAATGAAAGCTCTTGATGAGTGTAACATCGGGATGAGCTTATATCTTAGCTAAAAACGTCAATATTTAAGAAAGTACAGTGCAATTTAACAAAATTCATTATTTAACAATGCAAAATTTTATTTATTAATAGTTCACAAGTCACGGAAGTCACATAGTGACTGCAAGGTTGCTAGTTTATTCATAAAGAAATATTGCCGTAGTAAAAATTTTTGAATTTTTAAATTTTAAAGTTTTCAAATTTTTACAATTTCGTTAAATAAAATTGATAATCAATTGTGAAAATTCACAAAATTGATTTATTGATTAATTTATTTTCTTAATTATTCTATTTTTAATGCAGAATTGATAAAAAATGTAAAAATATCGAAAAATTATCTCATTACTTCTAGATTGAACAAGTTTTTCAAAAATGTTTAGCATTTTTTTATATGTTCAATTTTCGGTTATTTTTTTTTTTTTTAAAAAAAAAAGAAAAATAATACTAAGGTTCTCTGAAAATTGATGTCTAAAAAATTCCAATGAAAAACAAAACATGTATGAATTTTTTAGACTTTCAAATTGAAAAAATGTAATCAAGGAACTTATTTTACATAATTTGAAGTTAAATATATAAATTTTCATAATTTTAACTATTTATTAATTTTCCGACCGTGATAATTATAATTCTTTTAAACCCGTTCCTGCCTTTACGGTCATTTTTTGCTAATATAATTCTAATTCAAGTGGATGGTAATATTCCATCATCACTAACAATTTGGGACAAATCGTCCCTTTACTTCGAGAGTTATTCGATGGGGTAACCATCGAACTTGAACACTAGTTAGCTGGTGAATGTTAGTATCTGTTCGATTCTATTTTTTTAAGTATCAACGATGGAAAAACCACTGAGAATAAAGAGCAACTTTTGAAAAAAATCCGTGAAAAATTAACCAAGCCAGGAATCGAACCTGGATCTTCCCGATTACATGTCAGGCTGCTTTTACCGTTAAGCCACCGGGTCATTCTCCACTCACTCTCTCTTGGTATACTCTTAACTCTCAGTAGTTGTTAATACTTACTTCCCCCTCTCAAACTCTATACTACGATGGTAGTTGTAGTACTTCTGTTTCTAGGCAATTTTCAAATTTTAACTATTTATTAATTTTCCGACCGTGATAATTATAATCGTTGATACTTAAAAAAATAGAATCGAACAGATACTAACATTCACCAGCTAACTAGTGTTCAAGTTCGATGGTTACCCCATCGACTAACTCTCCAAGTAAAGGGACGATTTGTCCCAAATTGTTAGTGATGATGGAATATTACCATCCACTTGAATTAGAATTATACTAGCAAAAAATGACCGTAAAGGCAGGAACGGGTTTAAAAGAATTTTCATAATTTTTTAATTTTTTATTCAAATAATCTTACTATTGATTAAGAAAAAGTGATTAGAAAAAATTAAAATAAAATTTGAATATTATTCTCTGTATTTGCTACTTTCTAAATCGCTTTCCTTAGTATTGTAATTTTTATCCCGAAAAACAATGATCGAGCCCGCTGATTAAAAACAGTAAACAGAACAATAAACTAACAAATTACTTGAGTGTATCACCCTCAAGTAACATTAAATGATGACAAGGGAGTCTTAGTCCTGCTTGCGGACACTAAATCAATACCTTGGTCAATGAGAATAATCTCGACACTGGACCCCACGGGAATGCGACGAGTATTGACGCATTCGCACGCAGCGTTACCATTGTGCTGACGGCACCGTGCAGATGTCTCGGAGTAATGCTCATTCTCATTGCATAACATTTCCTGAGGGACATCCGGGCCTTGAGTTAGCAGCGGCGAGGACGGGTAAGTGAATGTCTTATTTTTGATGCTCATCACCCTCATCTCTAGATCTCCTAAAAAAGATAAATTTCAATTAAAACTTCATTTACAGATAAATAGATAAAAAATAAGCTGCTATTTATTCATGCTTTTAAAGCTTAACCCTTTAAAATATGTCTTTAGAATACCCCCTTAAGCAAAAAAAAAAAAATTCAAGCGATACTATTACTGAACTTTGAAAATAAGATTATAAAATTTAACTAGCAACCTTGCAGTCACTATGTGACTACCACGACTTGTAAACTCTTGATAAATGAAATTATGCTTTATTAAATAATGAATTTTGTTGAATAGCACTGTACTTTCTTAACTCTAGACGTTTTTAAAGATCTAAGCTCATCCCGATGTTACACTCATCGAGACCTTTCATTTGAGTACTCACATGCATTTTGATATATTTTTCATATATACATATATATAATATATATAAATATATGAAAAATTGATGTAGGTACTCAAATGAAAGGTCTCGATGAGTGTAACATTAGGATGAGCTTATCTCTTTAAAAATATCATTAGTTGACAAGATAGCAAAGTAAATTCTTAATTATTGACTTTTTTAGGATATAAACTCATTTCGATGTTACACCCATCGAGACCTTTTATTTAAGTACCTACATGGCATTTTTTATATATTTTATATATTTATATATTTGTGAAATATATAAATATATAAAATATATGAAAAATTGATGTGGGTACTTAAATGAAAGGTCTCGATGAGTGTAACATCGAAATGATCCTATATCTTCCCAAATATCAATAATTCGCAAGATACAAGGTCATTTCTTAATTATTGACATTTTTTGAGATACAAACTTATTTCGATATTCCACTCATCGAGACCTTTAATTTAAGTACCCACATGGCATTTTTTATATATTTCATATATATAGTATTCGTAAAATATATAAATATATAAAATATATGAAAAATTGATGTGGGTACTCAAATGAAAGGTCTTGAGGAGTGTATCATCAGGATGAACTTATCTCTTTAAAAATGTCAATAGTTCCCGAGATACAAAGTCATTTATCTAGAAACTTTAAATTTTGAATTTTTTTTCTGACTATCTCATAAAACATTAATTGCCTTTTTTTTTACACTTAAAAAATGACCTTAAATTCAAGCTTCTAGACCAAAATACCCTTAATCTACTAAATTAACAAACTTTGAGATTAAACAAGTTATTGTTACTTAGTAAAACCAACCCAAAATTTCAGCTGGCTGCATCCGCTGATTAATAGGAAGATAAATAGTCAAATCTGGCGTTTCCAAAGCAGTTGGCAAATTAGTTGTTGCCTTTATTTCCGTGGAGCAAACATTTCCAGGAGAATTGCATCTGTCCGAGGGATTGGTGGTCATTTCAACAAGATGATCTTGTTTGTCAAGAGGATTCACAGGAGAGGAATCCTCAGTTGAGATGACGCCTTGATATCTCAGCAAGGCAGATCCAATCACCGTCGCATGGCAGCCTTTGTCTGTATAAACATTGATGGAATAAACATCCTTGCTGGACGCGATCTTGTCAGCCCTCAGAACAAAGTCAGCGCGCTCTCCTTTAGCCAGAGTTATTGATTTGACTTTCAGAGGCGCCACGGGATTCCCATCCAGAGCAATGAGCGTCAGCGGATGCTCTTCCACGGCAAATGTTATAGGACACGCTCCAGCGCCACCTGCGTGGGCCAGTCTGAACCGGTACCTCAGTCCCCGGGTGACGTTGAAAGACGACAAGGGAACCTGGGGCCCGTTTGGTTGATGGCCTCTGCCGTTTATCAGCAGCAATGCTGGCTTCTTGTTCGCTTGACCGGCCACCGTGTCCGTCACTATTGAGTGGTGCCACTGCGAGACCAGCAATACGTGATTTGGGTCGTCCACGTCGTACAACAAGCGGTGGGGCTCTCGAGCGTCTGCTTGCCGCACAATTAGCGATCCGAAGATACCGTTCGCTACATCGACACCTGAAAAGAGATCTTTTGTTTATTGCAAGCCATTTTTATTCTTTGTTTAATACTTTTTTTATTTAAATTTATCTGTTAGGTTGTTTTGTTTTTATTGCGTGTGGCATTGATTGTTTTTTAGAAAGTTGCAGTGGAAATGTCAAGAGAATATTATTAAACATTTTATAGTTTCATTTCCGACATTTGTAATTTATTTAGTTATTCAATGTCATTTTTTAATGTTATTTTAGAAAATTATGAGTAATAATATTTTTTAAAAATGCGCGCGCCCCGCCATTTTATTAAACTTCCGCCATTTTGCTCTACAAAATTTGTCTTAATTTATTTGAGAGAAATATTTAAAAATTTAATAGAGAAATCTTTAAATTCACTTTTGTAGTGTTTAAAAATAGTAATTTAATTTAATTAATTCAATTACTTTTGCGAAAATTAACCATCAAAGTTTTGAAGTGATAAATTTACTTCACAAAAATTTTTTTGCTAAAAAAAAATCTGTTTATTATTTCAAAAATTATTTTAGAAAACTCTGACAATAAAAATTGTATTTAAATTTAATTGCGCGCGCATCCCGCCATTTTGTTAAACTTCCACCATTTTGATCTTCTAACTTTGTCTTTTATATTTGTTAATTTATTTAGGAGAAAATTTAAAAATTTAATAGTGAAATTTTTAAATTCACTTTTCTAGTGTTTAAGATAGTCATTTAATTAAATTAAATTAATTACTTTTGTGGAAATTAACCATAAAAATTTTGAAGTGACAAATTTGGGTCACAAAGAAATTTTTCCTAAAAAAACAGCTTCATAAATAATTACTTGTTCATCTTTTCAATAATTATTTTAGAAAACTATGGCAATAAAAATTGTTTTTAAATCACTTGCGCGCGCATTCCGCCATTTTGTTAAACTTCCGCCATTTTGGTCTACAAACTTTGTCTTTTATATTTCTTAATTTATTTAAGATAAAATTAAAAAATTTAGTAGTGAAATTTTTAAATTCACTTTTGTATTATTTAAAAATAGTAATTTAATTAAATTAAATCAATTACTTTTTCGGAAATTAACCGTTAGAATTTTAAAATGACAAATTTGCTTCACAAATAATTTTTTTTCTATAATAACAGCTTCATAAATAATAACTTGTTCATCTTTTCAAAAATTATTTTAGAAAACTCTGATAATAAAAATTTAAAAAGTTGCGCGCGCATCCCGCCATTTTGTTAAACTTCCGCCATTTTGGTCTTTAAACTTTTTTATTCATTTTGTTTAAATTAATTTAAAAGAAAATTCAAAAATTTAACAGTGAAATTTTTAAATTCACTTTTATAGTGTTTAAAAATAGTAATTTAATTTAATTAAATCGATTACTTTTGCGGAAATTAACCATCAAAATTTTGAAGTGATAAATTAGCTTCAAAAAAATTGTTTCCTAAAAAAAACCTGTTTATCTTTTCATTAATTCATCTTCAAGAATCGTCTTAAAAAAAAATACTTTTTTTAAGTAAGAACATCATAAATAATAAATTACAATACTCTCAAAAAATTATTTTTCACTAACATGAATTTTTAGCGTTGACTAATAAATTAAACTTTAGAAAGCCGTTCATAAAAGAAAAAAAATAAAAATCAAGGACGTAAACAAAAAAGTTACAAAAAGTTAACCTTGCAGAAACTTAAACTAATAATCATAATAATTTTTAAGATAACCAGAGTGCGAGTGCCAGAGATGAGTCCCAGGGACAGAAGCCCGAAACTTGTATTGAAAAGTAGTGTAACTTGGAATAGGACATTGTGTCACAAGTGGTACTCCGTCCATACAGGGAGTTTCACGTTGAGTTTGTCCACGCCAGTGTATCGAGGCGGCCTTTCCCGGAAGCCGGTTTACGACATCAACGACCAGTATATCGTTCTCGCAGACCTTGAATAATAATAACCAGATTGGTAATTATTTATTATTTAATACTAATTCACTAACATTAATTTTATTGCATGAAAATTTGTTTACAGTATATTTAATAAGTTTAAGAATTTTATAACAAAAAAATTAAGGGAAAAAAATTGATAAGGAAAAATTAAAAAAAAATAAAAAATGCAATTTCTTTTGTTAAAAAAAATTAAAAAATTCTTTAGTGACTTAGCAATTAAATTATTATTATAAAAAATTTACTAGAGAAATTCTACATGTGAAAATTAAAAGAATAAATTAGTGGAAATTTTTTAAATGAAAGTTTATTTAGTAAAAGGCTCCAATTATTGATAGGGGTCTTAATATTAACACCCTAAATTATTTTTAAATATATTTAATCATCTGCAATAAGAATAACTATCATATAAATTTTTATTAAATTCTAATTAATTAAAAAATTGAAAAAAATTACTGTCAGTTAATATTAAATATTAATTATTTAAAAATAAAGTTAGCTCCAGTTAAAATCAGCTTACGAACGTTTATTTTCTTGACAACTTTGATTAGAAAAGCATTTTTTTTAAATGCCGAGTTTAAATGAATTTCTTCATCTAATGATATCATCTTTTTTTTTTTTAATTAACAATATATGAAAAATTTATAAAATTGAATAATCGAAATTAATTGTATGCTTTATAATATTTAAATAATGGGTGTCAATAACTAGTTGATAATTTTTAAGTTGAATCTCATATTGACAGCCATTTGACAGCGCTATCACGCCTTTTTTTGACTTTAATCTAAAAAATTAACTGTAAGAGTTTGAACTCTTCTGATTAAATAAATTATTTTTAAATAAATTTTTATATTTTTAAAAGTAATTAATCATTTATGGAAATTATTATTAATAAACTTTAATAAAATTGATTACTTAATAATAAGTTTGGATAAATAAGAATAAGCAGATGATTGTAGGCATGCTTAGTATAGGTGTCAATAATTGCGGTGAAGGTATGTCAATAATTAGATCAATCAGTTTTTTAACCTGCCAATAATTGGTGTCTCCGGATAATCTATTTAATTATTTAAAATTAATCAGTAAATATCAGTGATTATCATTTTAAAAAATTTGATTAGTAAAAACATTACTTGAGACATTACCACAAACAAAATTCAACGATATTGATATTTGATTGCTTAAAAAAAATCAAATCATAACTTTGTCTCTAATAGTATTAATAATATAAAATATAATATACTATAAAAAATAAATTATGGCAGAAAAGTTGATATTACAAATTAAAAAAAAAAATAAAAAATGAAATTTTTTTAATGAAAATTAATTTAGCTGATATTTAATAATTTTTAGAACTGTTGTTAAAAAATTAATTACGGCAAAAAAAATTGGCAAGTAGAAATTTTAACAAATTAAAAATGCAATTTCTTAAAAATAATTTTTTAGAATTAATTTAATTGTTAAATAAAATTAAAAATTGATCTAGTGATAGCTAACTTTAATTTCATATTTTTTTTAATATTTGGGAACAAATTTTTTTGTTAAAAAAAATTCTCAAATAACTGCTAACTTTAATGTCATTTTAATTTTAGATTCAGACTGTGCATGAAGTAAATGCATAGTTATATTATTACTTATGACATAACCTAGCAGTTACCTGGATGCTGGGTCCAGGCAGTTGCCGATTCGCGGTAAGAATTCCTCTATGATGCCCGTCAGCGGACACACAGTACTTGGCAAGACAAGCGGTCTCATTGGCTGGGCAGTTTCCACAGGCCCTGAAAAAAAAAAAAATCCAAAATGTCAGCAGGTATTTAATTATTTTTCGTATTTATGATAGGATACAGCATGATCAGGTTACATAACTGTATTTGCAACGGTACCAACAATCTAATGTAATATCATCTAATGCCTGGATTGCTCGGTCGCCGGCACATTGCCGTATGATGCAATTCATGACATAATATGTCTCGTAATATGTAATAGGCAATGGATGAAAAATAAACAAAGTGTTTCTAAAGACATGCAGCTATAAGTACTTATATTTATATGTTATTATTTATTATTATTATTGTAAAGAAATGGATTATTTTTATAAAATTACTTGCTGAGTGTGTGGAAAGGTTCAAGAGTCAGCTTCACTCTGCAAATCATTGGCCAGTCTAAGTGATGACACGGCCTGTCACATGATAAAAAAGTTTGTTCTGGAACAAAGAAGAGATTGGTTACTAGTTATTATTAATGATAGTGAGTTTAGCTGTCAGCTGTTAATTTTTTTTAATTTTTATAACAGCAATTTTTATTTAAAAAAATACTTTTAAAAATTTTTATAGATAAAAATTTTTAATTAAATTTTTTTATTATAAATTAATTGCTATAAAATAATAATGAAAATTAATTTTGCAGATATTTTTAATCAATTTTGAGAATTTTTATAACAAATAATATAATACTAAAGTTAGCCGACGTTTTTAATTTTTTTATTTTTTTTTTAATAATTAAATTGTAACAAAAAAATATTTTTTAAAAATTGCACTTATAGTTTTTCAAGTTTTTTACAAATGATAATTTTTTTTTAATAATTTTTTCAATAAAAGAAAATTCTAAAAATTTTTAGATGTCGGCTAAATTAATTTTCATACTAATAGATTATGGAAAAAAAATATTTACACCTAGAAATTTAAAAAAATCAAAAATGCAATTTTTTTTATTAAAAAAATTTAAAAACTATAAGTGCAATTTTTCAAAAATATTTCTTAGTTGTAATTTAATGAGAAAAAAAATTAAAAACGTCGGCTAACTTTATTATGATTGATACTAAAGTTAGCTTTCAAATTGTATAATTTTTATAAAAAAATACTTTAAAATAATTCCACTAACAATTTTTTTTTTTAATTTTCACACGTAGAATTTTTAAATTAATTTTTTTTTCATAAAAATTTAATAGCTATAAAATAACAAAAAAAATTTCTAACGTTTGTTATCTTCAGTGTCTTAATAATAATGAGTATAAGTATGAAATAAGTGAGGTTCAAACTGCGGTTTTTTAATATACTGTAAATTAACGATTTGTTTTATTATTTCAGGTACATGACTGGTGATTTAGTAATTTTTAAATAATTTAATACATAATTCTACTTGTCAAGACATTTTATTCTTAATGTGCGAATATTGACAGGTTAATTTCCTCATTTTATTTATTACGTGCAATGTAGATGTCGCAATTTAAAGGATTGAAAATTGCAAGTTTGTTTTTTTGTAAATTAATGAGCAAGAATTTCTATTAGACTCATTATTTATTTTTTATAGATTAATTCATAAATATTTATTATAGAAAAATATCGCATGACGCGGAAATGAAAGAGTATGATTAAACATAACCTCTAAATATTTTATGTTACTAAATTTTTACTCGCTATTAATAGTTTTACCAGTTACGTAATCACACATCGAGTTATGAATTAATTCAAGAGATTAAAATGTAAAATATTAATTGAAAAAAAAAAAAAAAACAATTAGGTACGCGATATCTTTTGTTGGAATTTTGATGCAATAAAATTAACAAAGAAGATCATAGCCTTACAATTTAAACAATAAGTTAAAAGCAATAATTGAAAACAAAAAAATAAAATTTAAATTTTTCTGAGGAATTATTTTAAAAAGAAAAAATGTATTAATTAATCATCAATGTTATTAAGAGAATAAGCAATCTTTTGCAGCTAGTGTATTTATATGATAAAATAGGCTTTATGATTAAATTTGGAAAAGTCTTGATCTAGAGTTGTGCGTTTTCATGGTATCATATCATTCGCACTAATAGTTAATTTATGATCATAAATCATAAGTATTTAGGCTGCATTCGAAAATGCTCTATCTCTAGATACATAATTAAGAAATGACCTTGTATCTTTTGAACTATTGACATTTTTAAAGTTATAAGCTCATCCTGATGTTACACTCATCAAGACCTTTCATTTGAGTACCCACATCAATTTTTCATATATTTTATATAATTTATATATTTCACAAATACCATATATATAAAAATATATAAAAAATACCATGTGGGTACTTAAAGGAAAGGTCTCGATGAATATAACATCAAAATGAACTTAAATTTACGAAAATGTTAATATTTCGTTAAATAATGATATTTTCAACAATATAAGCTCATCCCGATGTTACATTCATCATAAAATTAGGTCATATTATTATTATTAGCAACCTTGCAGTCGCTATGTCTCTATTTATAAACTATAAATAAAGAACATTTTGCTTTATTAAATAATGACTTCTTTTAAATTGCACTGTACTTTTTTAACTATTGACGTTTTTAAAGATATAAGCGCATCCTGATGTTACACTCAACAAGAGTTTTCATTTGAGTACCCACATGCATTTTGATTTATTTTTCATATATACATATATATAAATATATAAAATATATGAAAAATTGATGTGGGTACTCAAATGACAGGTCTCGATGAGTGTAACATCGAAATGAGTTTATATCTTAAAAAATGTCAATAATTAAGAAATGACCTTGTATCTTATGAACTATTGACATTTTTAAAGATATAAGCCCATCCCGATGTCACACTCATCAAGACCTTTCATTTGAGTACCCACATCAATTTTTTATATATTTTATATATTTATATATTCCACAAATACCATACATATAAAATATATAAAAAATGCCATGTAGGTATTCAAATGAAAGCTCTTGATGAGTGTAACATCAGGATGAGCTTATATTTTTAAAATATATATTATATATATGTATATATGAAAAATATATCAAAAATGCATGTGGGTACTCAAATGAAAACTCTTGTTGAGTGTAACATCAGGATGCGCTTATATCTTTAAAAACGTCAATAGTTAAAAAAGTACAGTGCAATTTAACAAAAGTCAGTATTCAATATAGCAAAATTTTATTTAGTTATAGTTCACAAGTCACGGCAGTCTCATAGTGACTGCAAGGTTGCTCGTTAAAAAATATTTTGTTATTAAATTTGGAGGTAAAATAATTCCAAATGAATGTGTCAAATTTTCTTCTTAAATTAAGAAGAAATACAATTTATAAAAATTAAAATTTAAAATTTATTATTTTTTAAAATTTGAATGATTTATTTCAAAAAAATAATTATGTTAATCCAAAAAAATGTCAGAAGCTAACGCTGAATTTTACTTTTAACCCAAAACTTTCTCGCGTCAATGATAAATTACAAACTTAATCAAACAACAAAATTTCTAATAATTCTAACTAAAAAAAAACTTACGCGGCAGGTAATTAAAGAAGTGCAAAAATGTCGAGACGGATAAAACCATCAGGACGACGACGGATATTCGTAGAAAGTATGTCAATGCAGGAACTTTCCGCGCCATCTCACCAGGATTTATTTAAAAAAAAAAAAAAAAAAAAACCAACTTATTATTTCTCACAAATCAAAAACATTTTCGCCTTTTTTTTTCACAAAACTATTCTAAGATTCAAATAAAATTAACCACTATTAAATTTTTCAGAACGCTCACTAACAAGAGTTGAAGCCGAACTAATGTAACTCTGAAGTAAGCGTCAATGCGGACGCAACTCAAAACCTGCTAATGTAACCGAAGGAAAGTCTCCTTTAGACTTAACTTCTGTTAGCAAGACTACCATTTGACCATCAATGATTCGTGACATTCAATTATCGCCCGGTTGACTGGGTTTTATTTATCCAGACTGGTGTTTGTACCCGCGAGCATTAGAGACGTAAGTGCAATAAATTTACGATGATGCAAACCTAGACAAAAACAAAGACTGTCTATTGGTGTAAACCCAGTAGACTAATCCAAGTATTACCAATTTATTTGAATAAGAGTGAAAGTTTGCTGAGTCTTTCTCAATCTTCAGCCTTTAGTCTTGAATTCCGTCTCTCTCTCAAGTACCAAAGCACTTTCATCTTACGACCTTTCTCCTTATTGTGTATAAATATAAAAGTACTTCGAGACATATTTTTTTTTGGTCAAATAATTTCGCTTTCGCTGTGGCGAGTTTTGCGTCCGGTCTCTGGTCTTGCGCCAGGCTGTTGACTTCAAAGGTGAATTTACATTAAATATATAAACTGTAGTATAAATTTCTTGTTTTATGATAAGATACTTTTATGATAGAAGAAAATCACCGGGTATGTGTATCATAGAAAGCAGGTTTCATTTTACACTTTTAATATTTTATTAAACAATCTATTTTGATTAATGGTTCAGTACTTGCTTTCACACTAACTGATATGAATAATCTGTTATCATAAATATTGAATTACCATGTTATATATTTAAGGTAAATACATTCTAGGGTGTATATATATATATTCACTATTTTATTTTGATTAATAAATTTTTTTTAAATTAATTTTTTAATAAATTTTCTTTAAATTAATTTTTAAATATATTTTTTAAAACATTTTTTTGAATAAATTTTCTTGAATTAATTTTTTAATTAATTTTTTTAAATTAATTTGTTAAAATTAATTTTTTCTAATTAATTTTTTTAAATTAACTTCAATCAATTTTTTAAAATTAATTTTTTAATTCATTTATTAATAAATTTTTTTAAATTAATTTTTTTGAATTAATTGGTTAAAATTAATTTTTTTGAATTAATTTAAGTTAATTTTTTAATCAATTTGTTAAAGTTAATTTTTTAAATTAATTTTTTAATCAATTTCCTTAAATTAATTTTGTAATACATTTTTTTTAATTAATTGATTAAAATTAATTTCTTTGAATTAATTTGTTAAAGTTAATTTTTTAATCAATTTTTTGAAATTAATTTTCTAATAAATTTGTTTAAATTAATTTTATTTTAATTTACAAGCATATATAGATAACATTAACATTCGATGCTTGTAAAGTTGGACCATCTTAAGAACTCCGCCCGTCCATCTTACAACATATAAAAAATTTAATTTTATTTAAAAAATACTTATTTAAAATTAATTTGTTTAATTAATTAGACACGGTTATAAATAAATTAACCCACGCATGAATATTAAAAAAATTTTATCATTAATCTGAAAACTAATAACAAAGCCGGAAAAGTATTTTTTATATCAAGTGAAACTACATAATTTTATAACTTATTGTTATTGTTTTTTATTGCAGATTTGATCGAGTCATCACTTTCACCTTTATTGTCATGGTTAAGAATATGGTGAGTATTAAAAACATATTAAATAAATATATTGTATGAAGTAAGAATAAGTTTATTGGATAATTGTAAGGCAGAGTTATGGTCCAGCTAATGGGAGCCAGGATGATTTTATTTTATGAGGCATTAACTTCAGCATGAGTATTAACAATAAAATTAATTGTAAAATTAATCCCTTACCTGGGATGGGAGTCAAGTAGATAATTGTTGCAACAACTGATCCTAGGCCCACAAAAATCGCGAATCGGAAAAACATTTCCGATGTGTTTTAATCGACACTGAAGAAGAAGGTGAGGAAGAGAAGGCCTGAGGAAAGTTACGGTAAAAAGAGTTAAAGACCTGAGTGTACGGCAAAGGAGTGACCGGTATCGTAGTCGCGGGTATACTAGCGGCAAGTTCATTGCCAGGGAGAGAGTTGATTCGAGATTCTTGATTCGAGGATTTAAAGCTACACGATAGCAGGAATAGAGAAAGATTGGCTGAAGCTCTAGAGGCTTTGACGGGAGAGAGACCTCGTATCACGCACTGATGTTTAGTTTATTTAATTGACTGTACATCCTTTTGATACCTTATTTTTTTTTTTTTTAATATTGATACTGGTTTCTCGACTTTCTTCATTGGGTATTGGCTAGCTGTTTATTCAAATGATTTATTAGATATTTATTTTATTTATTTATTCGGTTCATTGTAAGACCCAACAGCTGGAAGGCTAATGATAGGGTCACAAAACAAATTATTCATAGTATAACATCGACGTTCTAATTAGCAAATTTTTTTAACTTGTACGAAAAAAACAATTAGTTCAAAATTTATTATCACTTTAAAAAATCATTAATATCTAATGAAGGTATAATATTTTAATTTGAATCATTCAAATAATTTATAATTGGACTATTGCTACATAAAAATGTTAAAAAATCACCCGAAAAAAATAAGGAGTTGAACAAATTGCTAATTAGACCGTCGACGTATAGTAATTGAAGACGAAGTACAAGTAAAATAATGGTATGTTATAATTTAGAGTAATTTAATAAAAGTTTATATAGTAAGGCTGAATGTTATCTAAACTATATAATAATTAAAAATATCTGAGAGGTGAAAAAAAAATATTAAGTATGAAAAAATGAGAATAAGAGACATACTTAAAAAGGTTGACGAATTAATAAATTAGTTATCTAAGAGATAAAAGAAGAGATTATTATTATTGTTGTGGTTTTTATGCTATAAGAATATTTAGTTCCGTGATACAATCTTAAGGGGTTTAACTTGCGATTTTTTTATAGAAAAGATTGATATCCAATCGGTTTTGGATTCATTAGGATTAGTATGTTCAGTATTAGGCAGTTGTAATATTTGTGTTATTAATATTACATATTTTTGAAAAAATTGAGTAGTGATTTTTTTATAATTATTCAATTTTGTGAAGAATGAGAAGTAGTTTTTAATAATTATTCATTTTTTGAAAATTTTATTTAATTACTAATTTAAGAAGGAAAATTATTTATTTAATTTCCGAATTATTAATTGTTGAAGAAAATTAGTCATGTTCTTTTTTAATTGCTAATTTTTTAAAAAAGTTAATGTCATTTTTTAAATTAATAATTTTTCAAAAAAAAAGTAATTCTTTAAGAAATTAAATAATAAAAACTAACAACCTTGCAGTCACCATGTGACTGCTGTAGTAAACTATAAATAAATACAATTTTGCTTTATTAAATAATGACTTTTGTTAAATTGCACTGTACTTTTTTAATTATTGACGTTTTTAACGATATAAGCTCATCCCGATGTTACACTCATTAAGAGCTTTCATTTGAGTACTCACATACATTTTTGATATATTTTTCATATATACACTAAGATTCAAATAAAATTAACCACTATTAAATTTTTCAGAACGCTCACTAACAAGAGTTGAAGCCGAACTAATGTAACTCTGAAGTAAGCGTCAATGCGGACGCAACTCAAAACCTGCTAATGTAACCGAAGGAAAGTCTCCTTTAGACTTAACTTCTGTTAGCAAGACTACCATTTGACCATCAATGATTCGTGACATTCAATTATCGCCCGGTTGACTGGGTTTTATTTATCCAGACTGGTGTTTGTACCCGCGAGCATTAGAGACGTAAGTGCAATAAATTTACGATGATGCAAACCTAGACAAAAACAAAGACTGTCTATTGGTGTAAACCCAGTAGACTAATCCAAGTATTACCAATTTATTTGAATAAGAGTGAAAGTTTGCTGAGTCTTTCTCAATCTTCAGCCTTTAGTCTTGAATTCCGTCTCTCTCTCAAGTACCAAAGCACTTTCATCTTACGACCTTTCTCCTTATTGTGTATAAATATAAAAGTACTTCGAGACATATTTTTTTTTGGTCAAATAATTTCGCTTTCGCTGTGGCGAGTTTTGCGTCCGGTCTCTGGTCTTGCGCCAGGCTGTTGACTTCAAAGGTGAATTTACATTAAATATATAAACTGTAGTATAAATTTCTTGTTTTATGATAAGATACTTTTATGATAGAAGAAAATCACCGGGTATGTGTATCATAGAAAGCAGGTTTCATTTTACACTTTTAATATTTTATTAAACAATCTATTTTGATTAATGGTTCAGTACTTGCTTTCACACTAACTGATATGAATAATCTGTTATCATAAATATTGAATTACCATGTTATATATTTAAGGTAAATACATTCTAGGGTGTATATATATATATTCACTATTTTATTTTGATTAATAAATTTTTTTTAAATTAATTTTTTAATAAATTTTCTTTAAATTAATTTTTAAATATATTTTTTAAAACATTTTTTTGAATAAATTTTCTTGAATTAATTTTTTAATTAATTTTTTTAAATTAATTTGTTAAAATTAATTTTTTCTAATTAATTTTTTTAAATTAACTTCAATCAATTTTTTAAAATTAATTTTTTAATTCATTTATTAATAAATTTTTTTAAATTAATTTTTTTGAATTAATTGGTTAAAATTAATTTTTTTGAATTAATTTAAGTTAATTTTTTAATCAATTTGTTAAAGTTAATTTTTTAAATTAATTTTTTAATCAATTTCCTTAAATTAATTTTGTAATACATTTTTTTTAATTAATTGATTAAAATTAATTTCTTTGAATTAATTTGTTAAAGTTAATTTTTTAATCAATTTTTTGAAATTAATTTTCTAATAAATTTGTTTAAATTAATTTTATTTTAATTTACAAGCATATATAGATAACATTAACATTCGATGCTTGTAAAGTTGGACCATCTTAAGAACTCCGCCCGTCCATCTTACAACATATAAAAAATTTAATTTTATTTAAAAAATACTTATTTAAAATTAATTTGTTTAATTAATTAGACACGGTTATAAATAAATTAACCCACGCATGAATATTAAAAAAATTTTATCATTAATCTGAAAACTAATAACAAAGCCGGAAAAGTATTTTTTATATCAAGTGAAACTACATAATTTTATAACTTATTGTTATTGTTTTTTATTGCAGATTTGATCGAGTCATCACTTTCACCTTTATTGTCATGGTTAAGAATATGGTGAGTATTAAAAACATATTAAATAAATATATTGTATGAAGTAAGAATAAGTTTATTGGATAATTGTAAGGCAGAGTTATGGTCCAGCTAATGGGAGCCAGGATGATTTTATTTTATGAGGCATTAACTTCAGCATGAGTATTAACAATAAAATTAATTGTAAAATTAATCCCTTACCTGGGATGGGAGTCAAGTAGATAATTGTTGCAACAACTGATCCTAGGCCCACAAAAATCGCGAATCGGAAAAACATTTCCGATGTGTTTTAATCGACACTGAAGAAGAAGGTGAGGAAGAGAAGGCCTGAGGAAAGTTACGGTAAAAAGAGTTAAAGACCTGAGTGTACGGCAAAGGAGTGACCGGTATCGTAGTCGCGGGTATACTAGCGGCAAGTTCATTGCCAGGGAGAGAGTTGATTCGAGATTCTTGATTCGAGGATTTAAAGCTACACGATAGCAGGAATAGAGAAAGATTGGCTGAAGCTCTAGAGGCTTTGACGGGAGAGAGACCTCGTATCACGCACTGATGTTTAGTTTATTTAATTGACTGTACATCCTTTTGATACCTTATTTTTTTTTTTTTTAATATTGATACTGGTTTCTCGACTTTCTTCATTGGGTATTGGCTAGCTGTTTATTCAAATGATTTATTAGATATTTATTTTATTTATTTATTCGGTTCATTGTAAGACCCAACAGCTGGAAGGCTAATGATAGGGTCACAAAACAAATTATTCATAGTATAACATCGACGTTCTAATTAGCAAATTTTTTTAACTTGTACGAAAAAAACAATTAGTTCAAAATTTATTATCACTTTAAAAAATCATTAATATCTAATGAAGGTATAATATTTTAATTTGAATCATTCAAATAATTTATAATTGGACTATTGCTACATAAAAATGTTAAAAAATCACCCGAAAAAAATAAGGAGTTGAACAAATTGCTAATTAGACCGTCGACGTATAGTAATTGAAGACGAAGTACAAGTAAAATAATGGTATGTTATAATTTAGAGTAATTTAATAAAAGTTTATATAGTAAGGCTGAATGTTATCTAAACTATATAATAATTAAAAATATCTGAGAGGTGAAAAAAAAATATTAAGTATGAAAAAATGAGAATAAGAGACATACTTAAAAAGGTTGACGAATTAATAAATTAGTTATCTAAGAGATAAAAGAAGAGATTATTATTATTGTTGTGGTTTTTATGCTATAAGAATATTTAGTTCCGTGATACAATCTTAAGGGGTTTAACTTGCGATTTTTTTATAGAAAAGATTGATATCCAATCGGTTTTGGATTCATTAGGATTAGTATGTTCAGTATTAGGCAGTTGTAATATTTGTGTTATTAATATTACATATTTTTGAAAAAATTGAGTAGTGATTTTTTTATAATTATTCAATTTTGTGAAGAATGAGAAGTAGTTTTTAATAATTATTCATTTTTTGAAAATTTTATTTAATTACTAATTTAAGAAGGAAAATTATTTATTTAATTTCCGAATTATTAATTGTTGAAGAAAATTAGTCATGTTCTTTTTTAATTGCTAATTTTTTAAAAAAGTTAATGTCATTTTTTAAATTAATAATTTTTCAAAAAAAAAGTAATTCTTTAAGAAATTAAATAATAAAAACTAACAACCTTGCAGTCACCATGTGACTGCTGTAGTAAACTATAAATAAATACAATTTTGCTTTATTAAATAATGACTTTTGTTAAATTGCACTGTACTTTTTTAATTATTGACGTTTTTAACGATATAAGCTCATCCCGATGTTACACTCATTAAGAGCTTTCATTTGAGTACCCACATTCATTTTTATATATTTTTCATATATACATATATATAATATATATATATATATATATATATATAAATATATGAAAAA